GGAAAGGTATATGGGAGATGAGTGTTACAAAATGTTCATTTTCAAATATTTTATTTGAATTCAAATGTAAACGTAAATCCTAAGAAGTTGTCATCTGTCCTTCTAGAGAATGCTAATTGGATCACCTTTTGAATGCTATTGCTAACTAGACCGCCAAAACTGTCACATTAGATATTGTCATGCCCCAAGTCATACACATGAGTCCTGCCTTGATTCTAGAAAATAAAAATAAAACTATAGAACTTGTTCTTTTAATGTTGTTTCATGGAAATTAAAGTTCTGCATAAAATCGAATAAAAACAACCCAAATCACCAATATCAATCAAACAACAATGAGTAATTATCAACAAAATAATGGCAAAATAAACCACTCATCAAATTCTACCTCGCTTATTCAATGTTTAACCTCGAGCATTCCTTAATCAAAATATATCAAAATCTCAAGTAATCATCCCATCTTATAACATATCCCAGAAAACCAAATAAGTCAAGATCACAACAACTATCAGAATCAAGAATAACAATCAAGCAAAAGGCATAAATAAAAATAAATTTAAGCAAAACCCATGATATCGCAATAATTCATCAATTTCAATGTAACAAGACTCAATACCTCACAAAGATTCACTCATTATCATTCGAAGTGTTTCGGGGTAAAACACTCAAAGCCAAAACCAAATATGATATTACTATAAGCTTGTAAGAAAATCAAGTCTTCACCACTTAAATGAACATGATAAATTAATCAAAGGGTATTTAAAAAGGTCGTAACAGGGTGTAACATCCCAAAACAGAACTAGCGACTAAAATGTAAATTTTGAAAATTTTATGCTCAATTTTAAAACAAGTTAAAAGTTCAAGGACTTAATTGAAGAATTTTGGTGTTGGAGTTAATAGCAAAGTTTGAAAATAGAAAGTGTATTATGGTAATTTGATATGAAAGATTTTTATTTTTCCCTTTATAAGGATATTAAACACGTGGAAATGGGATTAAAAAAAAAAGAAAAAGTCTGGAGACTTAGTTCTCTTATTCTCCCTCGTTGTTGTGAACTTCATTTTAAAGGTGAGTTTTGGTAAATTGATTATTTCTTGAGTTTTCAGCTTAGTTTTGACTCTTGGTGTGTTATGAAAGATTAATTAGATATTGAAGTGGGTTAAAACTCCAAAATGAATGAGTTATGAAGGATTAAATATGAAGAGTTTTTAAGTGAATTATTGAATAAGGAGTAAATGGATTTTTAAGTTGGATTTGACTTGTCAAGGGTCTAATTAAGAAATTAGAAGTCATAAAAGTGAATTATGAACATGTTGAATAATTGGTGTGAATTTCGTTTCTAAGTATTCTATGGAGATTATGGTTGTTAAAGTGTGCTTAAGTGATATAAGTTAGTTCTAATAAGTATATTTGAGTTTAGTAGTATGAAAAGAGTTATAAATGGAAGGTATATGTAAGTATGAGTGAATTTTAGAGTTAAAAAGATGAATTTTGGGCATGGGGTATCGGTACTGTTCATCCAGTATCGATACTTCAAAGAGAAAATGGGTTAATATTTGTGAGAGGGTATCGATACTCTAAGAATGGGTATCGATACCGTAAGCAAAGATTTGGGAAGTCATTCAAGGGGTATCGATACCAAAGGAGCAGTATCGATACCAAAGGAGCAGTATCGATACTGAGGGTATCGATACCATCTAACAAGTATCGGTACCATTTTGATTATAAGGATGGCAGAATAGAATTGAGGTATCGATACCATGGAAGGGTATCGATACTACAAGCATAAGGGTATCGGTACTGTGCTTGTAGTACTGATACTACTGGAGCTGGAAATTTGAGATTAGTAATTTGATTAGATTGCAATAGTAGGAATCTTTGCAAGTAATTTGAATTTCGATATTTATGGGATTGTGTATTCGTGTAAATAACGATCGAGAGCAAAGTCCGAACAAGTCGACCAAGTAATAATCATCGAGTAAAAGATAAGTGATCGGTATTGACTAGTGAGGCCAGGTGAATGCATCCTAGTGGTACATGATGTTTAATGGAAATAGGACTTGCAATGAGTCTATTTCCTATAGTAGTATACATGAATTCATGGACATGAACATGTGTTTGATATGAGTATATACATGTTAATATGTTGAATCTATGTGATATGATATATATATATATATGACAATAGGGACATAAGGAATTGTATGAGCATGTGATATGAAACCATATATGTTACATGATATAGGTGAACATAAGAGAACAAATTATAAATTATATGATATAAGTGATTTCATAAGAAAGTGAAATAAGCTATGAGATCATACGAAAGTGTTATATGAGCTATGTGATAAGAAGTTATATGATAATAAGCTATTGGCCTCTATGATATGAATATGTGAATATGTGATAAACATAAAAGATAATGCCCATGTTATGTGAAATGAGAGCTAGAGCTAGAGGTATAGTTGGCATGCCAAGAGTCGAGGGTTCTACGTGGTCCTTCGGGACATATATGTAATCCTTTGGAACATATATACGGTCCTTTGAGACACATATTTGGTCCTTGGGAATATGTATATAGTTCTTAAGAAAATTTCTATGTGGTCCTTATGGACATTTTATATGGCACCTCGGTGCATTTTTATGCGACACTTCGGTGCATTTCTACGAGCTATAGTGACAGCATATGTACACAACCTCAATGTACTCACATATCTTTAGTTCTCACATGTGTACATGGGCTAATAAAGAGATAATATAAATAAACTTGGTATGATTGTTATATGTGGTTGAGTATTTGGATATGAGTACGTAGGTTGCATGTATTGCATATGTTATATTATCTATGTGAAAGTATGTTTGTATGATATATTTGAATATAAGAGAATATAATGAACTTATATGATATGGTATAAATGATTACATGAGAAATGTTATGAGCTCTATAAGTATATGTATAGGTAATGAGGTGGTTGAACATATGATTGTATGAATAGAATAATAATTATAATTGTATTGAGTAAATATATTTTGTATGTGAACTAGTATAATGGAATTATATGACTAAATGAGAATTGAGATAAAATAATTAGTATTGAATTATAGGATAATGTGAGAATAGTATATCAACTAGGAAACATGTACATAAATAAGTATAAGAATATATTAGATAAGTTGTATAGGAAGATCTATATGTTTAAATGAAACTATGATCTAAAACTTGTTAAATTCTTAGGTGATATGAGATATAGTACAAGGATCTAGGAAATCATATGAGAATATCATGGGAATTAGATAATAATAAGTTATGAAAATATATGTTTATGTAACAAACTATGTGAAAAAAGAACTAATAGAATACAAGAAATTAGTATACAATAATATGATATAGAATATGCAACGAGAATCTATAGGTTATATGATAAATAGGAACATATGAAAATAAGAGATATGTGACTTTGTGATAGGAATTATATGATTAGGAATTATGTAAATAAAATGATTTAAATGATAACAGGAGAATGTGATATAAGCTAAGCGGTATAGATATAAATGATTATAGGAACATGAAAGAGTATAATCATATATATATGATGATATATGTGTATGTATGTATTTATTACATGAAAGTGTATATGAGGTTGTATGATATGATAGTATGAAACATGCATTCATTGTTAGAAGTTATAGTTTACATTATATGTTTTATATGTCTCACTAAGCCATAGACTTAGCGTGTGAATGTTTCACACATAGGTTTCGAGAAGGTTGAGGAGCAAAGCGATGTTAGGCAAGGCAAGACAGGTCAGTTTCTCCTTTCTAAAGATCAGATCAGAAAAGTATATGAATAATATATATTTTGTTACAAGGAAAATAGTTGGCATGTAAATAAAAGGTTTGAATTGTATCAGCTCTGGTAAGTTTGTAAACTTTTTGATCTAAATAGTATAAATTATGCATTGTGTTTTAATAAAAGTTAGAAATTTTATTCTTTTGTAAAAAATAAATGTTTTGAAAAATCAATATGGCATCTTGGACTCGTATCCGTGTCTGATACGGGTTAGAGGTGTTACACAAGGCTTAGGTTAAGGTAGGAAAAAAGGAAAAAAAAGATGGTGAAATATCAAGATAAAAGATGTAAAACATATCAGCTCAAACCACGAAATAAGCTAAGTTAATCGAAAGAAACAAAGTAAATGCAAAGTGTAACAGAAATCAAATAACCAATTTCTTTTTTTTCTTTTTTTTTTAAATTTTTTCTATTTTTTCTATATTTTCTGTTGTTATTCAAGTATTGTTCAAACCATTTTTTTTCTTTTTTCAACTTTTTTGTGCTCGTAGAACAATTCAATCTCTATCTTGACAAGGGTAAAAAAGAGAGGGTAAAACAAGCAAAAAAAAAAGGGTTTTAGGTTTAACATGTGGTAAAAGCAAAGAAAGGGTAAAAACACAAAAATGGTTCACTAATGGTTATAAATGGTTAGGCAATTTGAGCAGAGAACTGGTTAAATCCTAAGTGCCCCTATAAAATTAAAACATCAAGTTCAACTTGCAGTCTCGATATGTATTTGGTCACGGGTTCTAAAACATCAATATTAGTCTAGCACACTCAATCAAACAAATGAGCAAGAATGAAAAAAAATAACTGCTTAAGCTCAATTCTCACAAAAAGTGTAACATGCATTGAGTCAAGAACATTTTAACCAATAAACTCATGGGATATCAATCGAAAATTTCAAGAAAAACTAATCATGCCATTTTCACTATCATGCAACCTAATTCAAATAAAAGTAAGATTAAGAACTCATAAGGCATTCAAAGAAACAAAGCAAGAATCAGGATGGGTAACACAAAATCTCAACATATCAATCAATGCATACTCAAGTCCAATCATATAAACAAGTGAGAGAAAAATTGATGCAATTATTCTCTACCCCTCACTTAAAGCATATTGTCCTAATATGAAAATAAAAGCATAAGAGAGTGAATAGAGATACTCCTTGTTTCTAATAATGACCAAGACCGCGACCGCGACGGGAAGCGCCTTAGCAAAGATATGATAGAATTTTGGCAATGTTTGTCTCGATGGAGTTCAGATGACCATACACTTCATTGATTTGAGCTTGTACATCTGGTTGTGGACTGTCTTCCGGTGGTGAAGGTGCTACCCTCAAAATATAAACACGATCGCCACGAGGAGTTATGGTGTCGGGAGGAACAAAGTATGGAGCTTTGGGATTGCCAGCAAGTAGCTCCATCGTTTGCAAGCATCGCTCATCTAAACCATCCATAGAAAATACAAAAGTGAATTGTGAAATATCGAAAGTCAATGGAAAAACATGAATGGCAAGATTTGTAATGTATAGGTTGAGAATAAGTGGGCGATTGGAGCACACAACACGCTCAAAGGCGCGAGCAAACCAAAAACCCAAGTTTACCTTAGTTTCGGTAAGCATACACCACAAAAAGAATAACTCAAACTTACTCAAGCAAGAAGTAGTGCCATTACGTCCTGAGTAGTTGTAAGCAAGAAACCTATGGATGTAGTGAAGTTTCGGTTCATGGATATGCCACTCTTTCATTATCTGGGCGTTGTAAGTTTGCCCCACCAAGCTAGTAAGAGTCAAGTAGACGGCATCGGCGTCAAACTCCTACGATATCTCAAGTAAAAAAGTCAAATAATAATGATATGTGGCATCCGTCATGAAACCTATAGAAAAGTTAAAATACATAATAGACATAAAAATATTCTCCTAACAAAAGAAAATAGATGACATCTGATGAATTCACATTAATAACACGATGATGCAAGAATATAAATGTGGCATAAGATTCAAAAACCAATTCATAAAATGTTCCATGTTTTATATGAAAATATAAATTCCATCCAAATGCATCGAAATGGCGTATAACGAAATCCCTTAAATGTAAAGTCTCTAAAGTGCGAATAGGGATATAATCACAGACTTGAAACTTACGATGTCGGATGTTGTTGAACCGTACTTGTTCATCGTTGTCGAATTGCAAGAACCTTGCAATTCCTCCTCGGTTGGGACAGTATAGGTTCGACCACTTTGGTGTCGCTCGGGTTTTCGACATGTGGTGGTGGGTCATCAGATGGACTGAGAATTTTACCAGAGCTTGCTGCAAATGAAGACAATGAAGGCTTTCTGGGATGATAATGTGACGATAAAGCATTTTCATGAGGCGTTGTCGGGTTTTCCTCGATCAGAAAGCCAATGTCGAAATCCTTTGTATAATCATAAACGGGACGGTACATTAGTAAAGGCATAATAGATATTGATTCAAAATTTACCTCGTCGGGTTATTCTGGCAATGTCGAATACATCAAATAAGACGGGATAGCATCCGACATCGATTGGGATGATGTGATAGTCGGCATTGATTAAAAGGAAGATGAGAACGCCAGTGAAGGACAGTGTTGTCGTGGTCGTAAAGGACCGGTAGCACCTTACAGCCTAGAGGACTGGCTGGCCGACGGTGATGCATCAAGCGAGGCGGTGGGAGTAATATGAATTGGCTCGGTTTCAAAGAGGGAAGGTATAGGTACCTGCTGTCGATGTCCACTGCAGTGAGGAGAAGGTGATGGAGGCACGGAATCGAAGTAACTTGGAACTTAGACGAATATCGACGCAGTAAACCTACGACTGCCATCGAGGACGTGGGGTGGTAAAGAGTTGCGGTTCCCTTGGTTTCTCATTCGAACCATAGCTTAATCAGGAGAGTGTCAAGAGTGATGAAACGGTGAGAACAATCGGTGCTAAAGGGAACGGTAGTGGCGAATCAAATCGGGTCGGACGATAGGTGGTTGAAAACGGAGAAGTAATGGTGCGGCCACTGGTTTGTTTGATGCGTAGAGGCAGTTGATTTTGGGGAAACAAGGGGGAGAGAGGCGACTCAAGGGGTGAAATAAAATTAAAAGACATTTTAGGTTTAAGGTATGAGGGCACGTGGGAATTTTAAGAAGAAAAAAAAGTAGCCGGTTTATTTGGGAGAGGTTAGGATAAAAAATGGTTTTTTTGTTTTGATATTCAAAGTAGGAAAAGATGATGTGGGTCCCATGAAAGCAATTGGTAGGAGTCAATCGGTCAAAAAGGGAAATGTTGGAATTTGGTGGAAGTATGGAGTACGGGCAGCAACAAATAAAATGGGGCAAATGGATTATGTTAACTTGCGTGGGTGGGGGTGGGAGTTTTGGTAACGCGCGGACTAATGAAACGCGTGTTTCATGACTGGGGAAAGAGTCTGTTCTGCTCGGGGAAGGAATAATTAACATCGTTCAACTGAAAATATTCTATTCAACTCTATTGACGTTTGATTAAAAATATTTGTGATAAAAGTTCAAAGAAAAATAAAATTAATATGTAATGAAATAAAATGAAATAAAATAAAATAAAATTAAAATTAAATAAAATTAAATAAATTGGAAAATAAAATGGGTTGTCTTCCATTAAAGCGTTTTGTTTAACGTCGTTTGATTCGATGACCTGATTCAGACTACAAGTTCCTCTAAGATAATTTCCTTAACTACACTAGCTTGATTATTCTCGTAAAACGACTTCAATTATTGACCATTTACTTTGAATCAAGCTCCTGAATTTCAACTACACCATGAAAGAATGTTTGAGTCACCGTAAAAAGTCTTGACCACTTCGTCTGCAATTTACCGATAAAGATTTTCAACTTAGAGTTAAATAGCATAACTTGTTGGCCAACAGTAAAAGATTTAAATGAAATACGACGATCATAAAAATCTTTAGTTTTATCCTAGTATATCCGGGCACTATCGTAAGCATTGCAACACATTTCTTCAAGCTTCTGAATGTGAAGTTTATGTGCTTCTCTGACTGTATCCGTCTCCATGTTACATTCTTGTACTGCCCAATAAGCTTTATGTTCCAATTCTATCAGTAAATGGCACGATTTACCGAAGACTAAGCGGTATGAGGACATGCTGATGGGACTTTTGTAAGCATTACGATATGCTCATAAGGTATCGTTTAGTTTCAAACTCCAGTCTTTTTCATTCAGTTTCACAATTTTGTTGAGAATCTCTTGATTTCTTGATTTAAATTTTCTGCTTGTCCATTAGTATGAAGGTGATAAGTTGTGGCGATCTGTTGAGTAATGACATACTTCTTCATGAGTGGCTCTATAACTCGATTAACAAAGTGCGTCCCTCAATCACTAATTATCGCCCTCGGAGTGCTTAACCTGGAAAAAATAAAATATTTTAAAAATTCAGTAGTAGTTCTAGCATTATTATTATAAGTAACTTTAGTTTTTACTCATTTCGATACATAATTAACGGCTAGAACTATAATAGTTTCCAAAGGATGAAACAAATGGACCCACGTAGTCAATACCCCATACATCAAATATCTCACAAGCACCAATCGGATTAAGAGACATTTCATTTTGATGGCTTAAATTATCGATGTGTTGACATTTTCACAAGATTTACAAAATACATAAGCATCATGAAAAATGTTAGGCTAGTAAAATCCACACTTTAGAATTTTATGTGTAGTTCATTTCAGTCCAAAGTGACCCTCACAAAAAAAAGAATGGCAAAAAATAAAGATAGAATTTACCTCACTCGCGATAACCCATTGTATAATTACCTGATCCGAGGAATGTTTCCAAAGATATGGGTCATCCAAAATGTAGAGTCGGGATTCTCGCTTGATTCGGCTTACCTCGGAAAGTGATAGATTAGATGGAAGTATCCTCATGGCTAAATAATTAACCATAATGGCATACCATTGGACTGTTGATTGCGCCACATATAGGTGTTCCTCATGGAAGTTTTCTTGAACTAGCACATCAAGTTTAGAGATGGGGAAACGACTCAAATGATCTATGACCAAATTTTCACATCCCTTTTTATCTCTGATCTTAAGATTAAACTATTGTAAGAGTAAAATCCATCGGATCAAGCGTGGCTTCGCCTCCTTCTTGCTCAGCAAATATTTCAAGGCTACATGATAAGAATAAACAGTTATATTAGTACTTAGAAGATAATAATAAAATTTATCTAAGATAAAAATAATAGCAAAAAACTCATTTTCAGTAGTGGAATAATTTTGTTGAGTCGCATCTAATGTCTTAGACGCATAGGCTATCACGTAAGGCTCTTTGCTGATTTTCTGCCAAAGTATGACTCCTACACTTGAATCGCTTGTATCGCACATAATCTCGAAGGAATAATCCCAATTAGGTGGCTGCACTATAAGTGTCTAAATGAGTTCTTCCTTTAGGATGTAAAAAATGTTTTTGCACTTATCGTCAAAGTTAAAGGCTTTATCTTTTTGTAGTAGATTGCAGAGCGATTGTGCTATTTTAGAAAAATTCTTGATAAACCTACTGTAAAAACCTGCATGACCAAGAAAAGAGCGAACTTCCCTTACAGTTCTAGGGTATAGTAGTGAGCAAATCAAGTCAGTTTTGGCCTTATCGACCGTTATTCCATCAGAAGAAACAATATGTCCCAAAACCAATCCTTTATCAACCATAAAATGATAATTTTCATAATTAAGGATAAGATTAAACTCAAGGCAACGTTTAAAAACCTTAGTAAAATTAGATAAGCACTCACCAAAAGAGTTATCGTAAATCGTGAAGTCATCTATGAACACTTCAATTTACTTCTCAATATAATCAGAGAATATATTTATCATGGATCTATGAAATGTGGAAAGTGCATTACTAAGTACAAACAATATTAATTGATAAGAGAAAGTCCCAAAGGGATAAGTAAAAGTCGTCTTCTCCTAGTCTTCTGGCGCCACTAGGATCTGAAAAAACCTGAAAAGCCATCAAGACAAAAGTAACGAGATTTACCAGCCAATCATTCTATCATTTGATCAATAAAATGATGGGGGAAGTGATAAGATTTCAACTTCATGTTGTCGATACAAACTCTTGTAGGGATTAATTTGCCTTCAGAATTTTAAAAAATGTAACTATAGTTTTCTTAGGGACCACGTCTACCAAACTTACCCATTTATTACTGGATATCGAATAGATCATGTCAAAACCTAGTAGTTTTTGAATTTCCTTTTTGACTACCTCCATCATTGCAGGATTTAAGTGTCTTTGTCCTATCTTTAAGGGTTAAAATCATTATCTACCTTGATCTTATGCATACACATCGATGAACTAAGTCCTTTGATGTCGACTATGGTCCATCTAATCTCTTCTTTGTAAGTTTTGAGGAAACCCATCATGTTTCTCTTCCTGTGGATAATTTATTTGAAATTATCACAAGTAAGGTAGAGTTACATCCTAAAAACGCATACTTGAGATGACCCGACAACTGTTTCAACTCGATCTCTGATGCATGTAAAATGGAAGGTAAAATTTTAGTTTATAAGGGAGTAAGATGCAAATCAGAATAGATAAATGAAACATTTTCCAACTCCCTCATGTTGTTGTTTACATCTCTCAACTCCCTGGATAAATCATCAATAAAGTTGGTTTCCAAAAACTCATCGATGATAGGTTCAATAATATCAATAAAATTAATGCTCGCAACATTATTTGGGTACTTCATCGCCTTTTATACGTCAAATTTAACAACCTCACCATTAAATTATATGGTAAGAATCCCACTCCTAACATTAATTTTGGTATGTGTTATCCTCATAAAGGGGCGACCAAGAAGAATTTTAGAGGAAGTGTTGGTTTGGCCATTTTTCATGTCAATCACATAGAAATCTATTGGAAAATTTAAATCATTTACCCTAACTATTACGTTTTCTAGGAATCCTTCAAGATAGATGACAGATCTATCGACGAGCTGGATTGTTATTCTTGTTTCCTTCAAAGGATCAGCACTGAGTAAGTTGTAAACAGAAAGTGGCATAACATGAACAAGATCACACATAGCACGCTTAATTCCAACCATACCTATTTTACAAGTTATTGTGAACATACCTTGGTCCTTGTACTTTGGTGGAAGCTTATGTTGAAAAATGGTTGAGACATTTTCACCCAAATTTACCTTCTCATTATCGGTAAGCCCTCTTTCGGTTGTGCAAAGGTCCTTTAAAAATTTGACATTCCTCAGTACCTTTTGGATTACCTCGAGGAGTAGTATATTTATCTCCACTTTTCAAAAAACATCAAAGATTTCCTTCTCTTCTTCTTGCTTATCAAGTTTTACTAATCTCGATAGGAATGAAGGCATAACTGCATATGGGGAAAGAGCAAGAGATGACGTGAAAGAGGCTTGTATTGGAGGAGATGGCGTTTTATCTTCCTTTTTCTTCTGGGATTGTGTGGTACTTATCTCTTGGATCTCTGGTGCGATAACAGTGCCACTCTAAAGGGTAATGAGATTAACGTTTTCTCGTGGGTTCAACTCTATTTGGGAGGTAGCTTCTTTGTGACTCTAATTACCCCACGATTTAAGCCAGCTGACTCAGTTGTTTATCCAAATCTTATAGATGAGCCTCAATTTGATTCTGAAACTTCTCTTGAGATAAAGTTAACTGTTCAAAAATGGACTCTAATGATATTTTAGTGATTTATACGGTTGAGGTAGAGGTAGCCTTGGTTGATATTCTTAGTTTGGTCTCGGGTTTTATCCATAGTTTAAGTTTATATGATCTCTCCACCCCGGACTATAGGTGTTGGCGTGAGGATTGTAAGGTCTCTATGGAGATCCCGAAAAATTACCCACTGTATTTACTTATGCAACATCTTCTTGTAACATCATATAGTAGTTTATTAGATGGTCTGACATTGTGTATATTCATAGTCTAGTTGTTCTAATTTTACCTATGACAAAAGAATTAACCATATCAGTTAAAGTATTGACCTTGATAAGTGCTTTATTTGGTTAATA